CACCTACTGTGTGCCGGGAGCTGGAAAGGCGTGAATGAGCAAGGCAGATCAAATCTTGGTTATCCTGGAACAAACTTGTAATGGGGAGGCAGACCATAAACAGACATAAAGAAATGTCCTTTTAGTAGTGACAAATGGGCTGCAGGACACTAAAGCCAGGTAAAAGGATACAGGAGTGGGCAGGTGGGTGTACTACTTCAGAGAGGGTGACAGGGATGCAGAAGCATGAGAATGTCACAGCACTTTAAATGCTGGGTGACCTGTGGCCATGGATGGGTCTGTATCCCCCAAGGACAGAGGTCATGTCCTGTTCATCTCTGATGTCCAAGTATCAGCCACAGGCCTGTGTGTGGTAAGCACTGCTCAGAGAATGCATGGATGCATGTCTCTACCCGACAATGGAACAGGCTGAAATACACCACTCTCCCTTGATATGTAGGTCTCAGACAGCAACCCCCACCCCCCACCACCAACTTAGTAAAGTGAAGTCTCTGGTTGGTTCTTAAAAGGCCCTCAAATGTCAAGTACAAAATGTGACATCTGCCATGCTTTCTAGTAAGGGGACTGACTGGCACTGTCTTCCAGGAGGCTGACTACAAAACCCTTGGGCTGGGGTCCGGGCAGGGAGGCCACTTGCTCCTAAACCCAATGGGGACCTTGAGCTCCCCAGTTCCATCTCCTTGAGCATGACCCTCCTCGCCTGCCTGCTCCCCTGGGGAAGGTTAAAGGGAACAGGAGGGATAAAGCACCCAGCACATAGTAGGTACTCGTTAATGTCAGTCTCCCCTGTTCCCAACAGGCTTCCAATAAAGTAAAGTTATAGTGCAAGTGCAATGCAAACTACATACTCTAGGTGACAATGATGTGTCAATATACGTTCATCAATTGTTGATAATGGGGGCGGCTAGCATGTGTCCACTATATGGGAAATTTCTGTATCTTCTGCTCAATTTTGCTGTGAACCTAAAACTGCTTTAATAAATAGTCTATTGAAAAATAAATAAGCACAAGTGCACTGGCCCCATGATGCTGCTTGCTGCAGCTGACACCAGGAATGCACGGAAAAAGAATGGAGAGAGAGTGATTCCCATTCTCTGCACCCTTTCCGCTTGCCAGGCTTTAAAAGTAAAAGGCCAATGTCAGCAGCACAAAAATCTTAAAAATCACCCCTACCCTGGGGCACAATTAGAAGTCTGTGTGAGTTCAGAGTTAATATCAGATTCTTCCTCAGGAGTTTAAAAAAGAAGAAGTCAGTTCTGAAAGATTTGTATTTCAGCCTCCAGATACCTCCGGCCATTTAATGTCATTCTTTCTAATCAAGATTCTCGGGTCCTGGCTGAGGATTAGTCTGGGGTCCCTGAAAAGGGTAAACCAAAGGCTTCCCTTCCAGGTCATAAAACAACCTTGCTAGAAATCACCAGTTGGAGCCTAATCCCCTATGAACGCCTGCTTCGGTGCAAAGCCCTTTGCAGGATGGAGAGGGGATTATGATTCTGAGAGGACTGTACATGTGCTTCAAGCTTGAGCAGACAGGCACATGAGCGAGGGGCTGCAGGCACTGACAGGTGCAGGCAGGCTGTGTACCGTGGGTGCGGCTGAAGGCAGGCAGAGTTGGGAAGCAGTAACATATACACAATCCAATCGGTCGGGGGGTTAAAGGATCACACTTATCTTTGCAGCTCCATCCAAATGATGAATCGATGGCAAGTAATAACCAATGCTGGGTTTGTCAGCAGAGGGGAACGACAGGAAAACAAGACACTAGTGCTGGTGTGGTTCTATATCTCTTTCATGTTCGGATTCAAGTCAGGAGGCAAGAATTTTCTATAAAAATACCGATTTTTTTTAAGGGCATTCTCTTCCACCCTACAAAATGCTTCTTTGATGTAAAGAGTAAATAACCAGAGGAAAGAGGATTTTGTCCTATCTAGGCATCATAATTTTCTAAAACCTTGAGCCTCAGCTTGAGCCAACTAAATATACAAGACTAAATTAAAGAAATGGACCCTCTCAATGTACTGCATCACACTCTGGATATGCAGCAGCCACAAATCTACTCAGTAATGGGCTTATTAATAAGTGAGCTTTTCCACATGTCATTGCTGGCAGGACTCACAGGACCCAAGAGTGAAAGCAGGGCCGGAGGAAAGTCTGTGTACGCTATGGTGCCACGGTTTCCAAACTGGACACAGGAACGAGACCAGGGGGAGAAGCTACATTTCAGACACAAAGTTGGAAGTGGTAATAATTTGTAATGGCTTCAGCTAACCATGCACAATGGGAAAAGGACAATTGTGTCATTTAGAACATGCTGGACCAGATATAATGCCTTATATTAATATGGACAGATTCTTTTCAGGTTATTATGCAAAGGGAGGGAGGCTGCGATCACTCTAATTAAATGAAAGTACCGGCAACAGTTTCTAACTTCTGGAATATTTCAATTCTAATATGCTCCTTGAATTCTAGTATGCTCCTTGAATTTACCCATAGGGGTGCTGAGGCCATAAGGAGGCACCGACTGTGCAATTTTTATTGAGATGAAACACACACATATGTGTACATATCTCAGCAGTACCCGGATACCCTGTGTTCTGCTACCCATGTAACCAGGAGATTCAGAAGGCAGGTGAGCAAGTGAATTTGATTTTGAATGCTCCCAGGGCAGCGCTGTTTGTGCCAGAATCCTACTGTTTCCTCATTTGCTCCGGAATAGCACCAGGGTTGGTGTTCATGGGTCAAGAGACAGCAGTCCAGCTCTCGTCAGTACAGTGTATAACCCATCAATTTCCTGATTTAGTAGGATGCTACGCAAGAGTGCCAAGATCCTCATCTCCCAATCCTTAGCCAACTTTCCTTATTCTGCCTTAAATGAAAGCCATTTCAAAAGAACAAGAAAACATCAGATTAGACATTCTAAATGCCTTCTGTGTACCGAGCAAATCGCAGACTCTCTGAGCTGGAAGGGATCTTGAACAGCTCCCGGCCCATCCACCCTGGAATGCACAGAGGGTCGGTGACTTGCCCAAGGTCACATAGGAAATATGCAGCAGGGCCTAAGGCAGCATCCCTGGTCTGTGGACTCTTTGGTCAATTTATCAAGCACATTTGGCTGAAAACCTTTGAAAGGTCTACTTTTTTATTATTATTAGTTTGGCTCCTGTTCATTCAAGATATTTTTTCAAAACTCAAACATTCCAACAGAATTGCAAATAGTACATGACTTGCCTTATCTGGACCTGTCACTGCTGATTCCTCAAGTGGGTTTCAAGAGAGGGGTGGAAGCCCCAATGAATATAGTGTCAAATCCTCACTGAACTGCTTCAGGTAACAATGGATGCTTGATTTATCAGAAAGAGAAGTGGAAAAAACTGCTCGACCCACTCTTTAAAAAGCTGCAACGCTCCTTTATTCATAAACTCTTAGGTAACTTGATTCCTAAAATTTAATTTAATTTAATTTTTATTACACACGCACACACTGAATCTCTCTGTCTGGGAAGCTCAGAGGATCTCCTCCCCCTCAAACCATCTTCCATCGCAGGAAAAAAATAAAGATTGTTAAGACTGAAAACACATCTTCTACTAAATGCAGTGTGGTATCCTAGAACAAAATAAGGACATAGGTAGAAAAATTGGTGAAATTTGAATGAAGTGTGAAGTCCAGTTAACAATGATACACCTTTACCATAAAATCCCTGACATGGTGACTCGCAGCACTGCAGTTTACAAAGAACGGCTCTCCATGGAGAAATGCTGGTTAAGGGCAGTCTGTGCCTAGTAGAAAAGCTGGGGCCTTTTCTGGCTTTCAGTTAAGAGGCTTTTCGCTCTTAATTTTGTGGAAATGTGTCAACAGTTCTCCAGGTGTTCTTTTAAACTGTCCCTGAAAGTACACGAGGAGTGCCATGGCCTCAGGAACTAAGTTCCGCCTCCTCCGTTTTAAATTCCACCCACCAAAGAAAAGGCTGTCCTCTTTTTCCCCTGGGGTTAATGTAACACAAAGCAGCCATCACTTTGCCCGTTGCTTCTGAAGGGTCCAAAGGGGTCCATGCCAGGCAGGTTATGTATCCCGCCACAGCTAGAGGAGGGGTGACCCTGGGGCAAGAGCTCATTTTGCCAGTGTAGCCACTTCTGTCGGGAAAATGATAGTAAAGAGACAGAGCCACTCAGCTCACACAGGCTCCTGCGCCACAGGCTCCCACACTTCAAGGACAGCTCTGCTCCTATCAACCTCTCCCTTGCCGGCAAGGGTTTATTCTCAGGCTTCAAAAACTATGACATGGAGAGTTTAGGTTTTACTCTGGAAGCAGCAAGAGTAAATAAACGAGCTAAAGGCTGGTGCTGCTCTGAGTCACAGTTTAACAGCACCATGGTGTTGAGGGAGGTTCAGAGAGAAGATCTGGAGCAGGATCAATGAAATGGTGGTGGGGGAGGGCAGGGGTGGCAGGCCGGGAGCACTGCAGGTAAACTGAAACTCACAGCCAAGCAGCTTGACCCTTATGGCATGGCTGAGTCTGGGGTGCAAATGGAAGGGACACTCTGCGTTTTGAATGCCCAAGGTAACTGACAGTCTTTCCAAAGCCTATCACCTTATCACCCTGTGACCGTTAAGTTACCCAAGTCTTTTTAAATTGCCACTAAAATTGAATCCACATTTATAAATGATCATTTACGTCAAGTATCTTTAGTGCATAAATTTATCATCTGGGAACTCCAGACCTTTTAAGGTCAAGGCTAATGGACTACTTCTTTATAAATACATGGAATGCTAAACAAAGGGAAAAGATTGATAGAGGGGGAAGAGGAATTGTTGCATGGAAACTCACAACGAGCTTTGCCCACCGCACCCTGGAACAGTATAAACCGATCGGCCTTTTTCCAGAAGCTGCAAAGAAGTTTCAGAAAGCCTCAAGGGCTTCCTTCAAAGGGGTTGATGGGCTGGGAAGCAAATGAGGGAAGCCAACATCAGGTGCACAGCCAAGGAGATGGCTCAAGACTCACCTGGACACAGGTCACTGAACGGCACTCAGGAGGAAGTAGCCATGGGCCTCTGCTGCCTAGGAGTTTCCCAGGAGCCAGCAGGCCCTCAGCTGGAGTTCAAAAGACCTGTGCTGGTGGGGAGCCGGGGGGCGGGGGGGGGCGTGTTTTACAGAACAGTTCAACCCCCTGAGAAGCATTTCTCTGGAGAAGCAGAGCATGTGTCATTGTCCCTTTTCCCCCAAACTCTTTACTTCTTGTACAC